TTATTTATTTTTTCTAGTCTTAAATTTGCTATTTTTATTTTCATTCATTAACTTAATATTTCACGTTTTTGTTCTATTTTTTTTAATAGTTATAAAAATAAATAAATATGATTAGTGTGTATTAAATAATTTTTTTTTTAAACTTACATGTTTTCAAAAATAATTTTGTCTATGTGGACACTCTAGATGGAGAGAAAAGTCCATAATTATATATATGATTTGAATCCGAATAGTGAATTATTATGATATCAATAGACTATATTTTATCGCTATTATTTTTTGAAGATTAATTATTGTTGTGCACTATTTAGATTAACATTAATTCATATATACCGTTTTGTATTGACCATGATGATTATTTTCTTTTGCCAAGTTGGGAGCTAATTTTATTCATCATATATTAAATATGACACATTATATTAAATATGGATAGAATTTTATTATGGCATTCCCGCATAGGCAGCATTCGAAAGCATACTCTCATGCACCGAAGCAAGCAACTAACATTTGGAGTTGATCTGTTGATGAACAAGTGCATGGCAAATGATAAATTACACATTCTTTAAATGGAATCGTACATAAAGTAACATTGCCGTCTTCTGCTAAACCTAGCAAACATGCATGTCTCGCTATACTATTCTCTCACCAACCAAGTCATAGGTAACGTTATCAAAACTCCATAACCGAATGTCATGCAGTGGTAATATTAAAAATATGGGATCCAACAATCCGATGCCTAATGACCATGAAAAAGTAACCCCTATAAATACCTTACTAAGTAAAAAATAAAAATGAAATCATCTATAAGATGGAGATATAAGAGTATAGAATATTCTGAAAGAGGCGCCCTAGCTTCTCTCTTTGGTCCGCAAATCGAGGCAGCCGCCGCACATTGTTTTTCGACGTCAGGTGTGATCCAACGTGCCAATTTGCAGAATATCCACTCTAATCCTATCACTAATCCTATGCATATCTCTGCTGCAGCTAAGAAGATAGCAAAAAGGAAAAATGGGTTTATAAGTGCAGTACTAGGATTACTGTCAGTCATCTTGAAAGTTTGAATGGTATGATAGCGTCTGAAAAGGAGAGAAGAGTGACTGAAGAAAAGGAAAAAATTCTGATTCCATTGTTGAAAGAATTGGAATTGAAATTGAAGATGATCCATATTCAGAAAGCTTGCTAAACAGATAGTGAAAACAAAATAAAGAAAATCTGATTTTGAGATTTGTTGATTAGATCTATAATGTGAACTAAATTTATGTTTTCTACCTAATCACTGAAACTGTAAAATAAATCACGAAGAAGAAAGAGGAAGAGAG